AAGAGGAGGGAGAGTGGGAATGAGTGGAGGAACAAGGGGAAAGAAAGGAGAGTTGGGAGTGATGGGAAAGTAGGAGTAAGTGTGTGTGTGTGTGTGTGTGTGTGTGTGTGTGTGTGTGTGTGTGTGTGTGTGTGTGTGTGTGTGAGGGAGGAAGGAGAGAGGGAAGGAGGAGGCTGGGAGAGGGAAGGAGAGGCTGGGAGAGAGGGAAGGAGTGGTTGGGAGAAAGGGAGGGGGTGGGAAGGAGTATGTGCCAAGAAACAGAAATAACATCATTATGGTCGAGAGTCCTTGCTTGAGTCCGGCCTTAACCACACATAAGACAATTGTTACCATTTACCGTTTTCGTTTTACCGAGGCCATTAATGACACTTAGCTCTGTGTGTATATGTGTACACCTACACACATACACACCCACAGTTGATACAATCATCCAAGTGGACCGCCTTAAACACGTCCCTACCTGTTAATGACTTCACCAGGTAAAGGTATTATGACAAATGGTCACCCCTTTCCCTTCCTCCCTCACTTTATCTCCTACCCCTCCCTTTTCCTCTCATCCATTATACCTCCTTCACTCTTCCCCCCTTCCATCACTTCCTCTCCTCTTCCGCCGACCTGCTACCCTCACCCTACCTCTTCCTCTCCCTACTTCTCCCCCTCCCCTACCTCTTACAGCCCCCCTTTCCCTTCCCTACCTGCACCTGCTCCCCTCGTTCACCACAAGGCAAAAGAAAAATATAACGAAAACACACACACACACACACACACACACACACACACACACACACACACACACACACACACACACACACACACCACAAGAACCTTACAATGCATATACAATATCTCACTTAAAATAATTCTCAAAATAGTGTTTAAGCTTCCAAAAAATCATACATTACCACTTTAAAAAATATATAAAAAAATAAAATAAAACACATATACGTATACATAAATCCAATATTCTTTTCCTCCTCAAAATCTGATTAAACCATACCAGGTCTTGAGACTTAATCTGGACAGGATTAGTTGTCCTTCGAAATGGGTAAAAATAAAATCACTGGGTCATTCCACCCTTGGTTTACGTACCTGACTATTCCTAAAATACACTTTATCTAGATATACATTAAAGCATTGTTATTTGTCTTTCCACCTGCCCTCATTTCCCTCACTCTATGGTAAACACTTTCCCGATATACAAATAGTTATTTGTGATCTAACTCTCCCGATAAAAATATATTAATGCGAGAAAGTAGGACAGCATAGTAAAATTAGTGATAAAAGTAGACAAAAAACATTAAAAGTAGTGATAAACATTGGGAAATATATTAATATAAGAGAAAGTACGAATATATATTAAAATTAATGATAAAATAGAACGATATATATATATATATATATATATATATATATATATATATATATATATATATATATATATATATATATATATATATATATATATATATATATATATGTATATATATATACAAAGTAGAAATGAAAAGTATAAAAATAGGTGAGATACACTTAAGGAGTATAGTTCTATTTTTTTACATTTTACTGGTACAAGAAGATTATAATATGAAGTAACAGCTAAAAGTACAAAAAATCTACAAATTGTAAAATGAATAAGTTTCAATTTTCAAAAAAAAAATTAGAAAGTGGAAGAGGAGGAAGAGGTATATTAGGAAATAAGAGGAGAAGAAGAACAGGGGGAGGAGGAAGAGGAGTAGAAAGAGGAGGGGGGAGGAAGAGTAGAAGGGGAAAGGAGGAGGAGGAAATGGAGAAGCAGGAGGAGAAGGAAGAGGAGGAAAAGGAGAAGCAGGAGGAGAAGGAAGAGGAGGAGTAGGAGGAAGAGGAGTAGAAGGGGAAAAGGAGGAGGACGAAGAAAGGGAAAAGCAGGAGGAGAAGGAAGAGGAAGAGGAGTAAAAGGAGATAGTGGAATAGGTCGAGACGGAGGTAAGGTTGGGTTAGGGGCGGCTACTATCATAATCAAGGTAACAGGTCCCCCCCCCCCCTGGGAAATCTCTTGCGCCTGGGGTAAAATTCTTTGACAAATCTGCATATGAAAATAATTGAGTCACTGGTCGAGACGTATTTGGCCAGAGCTTTGTCAAATATCCATGTACAGCCTTGTGGGTATTATTACATTGGATATATAGAGGGGGAGAGGGGGAGGGTTTGGAGAGGGGGAGAGGGTAGGGTATGAGAGAGAGTAAGGGAGAGGGAGAGGAAAGAAAGAAGGAGTAAAAGAGGCGAGAAAAAGGAAAGAGAGAATGGGGTTGAAACAGGAGAGAGGTTGAGAAAGGGAGAGGATGGGAAGGAGTAAGGGATAAAAAGTGGGAGAGAAATATAAGAGAATGAGATAGAAAGAAACAGAAAACAAGAATATCTAGGAAAAATAGAGCAAGATATATAAAGAGGAAGAGATAAATAAAAGGACAATCAGAAAGTCAGAACAGAAATACACACACACATAAAAAATAATAAATAAATAAATAAATAAATAAAAACAATAAGAAATGTATATTTATTTCCTCACAATCCGGCTACATTCGGGCAGTTAACGCGAATATAAAAATAAATCCTGCCAGGCGAGAAGTTCACCATGGCCGGATGGATGGTGACACATTGTTTATAGAATCCGTATTTCAGAGTCGGATTCACGAACGCCAAAAACGAAAACAAAACATCCAACGATACAGAGTTCTTTCTGTCATAATTTTTAATTGATGGAAGAGTGTAATTACTGTACTAACCTTGTTAAGTGCCTAAGGACCTGAGTTGTTGATGCGTAGTAATAACATTATAACGTCAACGGTCACGTCCTATGACAGAATTAAATAACTCTCTCTCTCTCTCTCTCTCTCTCTCTCTCTCTCTCTCCTCGAGGCTACAGTTAATGGCTACCATCAACTGTTACCTCCCGGACAGCTGCCTCCTTTTTGGTTGTTTTCTGTTGTGGTTGCATTTTTAGTTGTAGTTATTGTTGTTGTGGTTAGTTGTTGGTGCGGATGTTGTGGTCAGTAGTTGATCTTGACCTTTTTCATTGTGTGTGTGTGTGTGTGTGTGTGTACTATACCTGCATATGAAATACTTGTATATGCGTTTAATTCATACAAATCATACATATACATAGTGAGTTACGAGGCCACATATTAACTGCGATAATAACAAACATGGACACTCTCCATCTAGCACCACAATGGTCTAGAATCACCAATAAGAAGTGTTTGTCCAGCAAATACTGCCTTCTTATTGGATGGTGGAACGTTTTTTTTTTTTTTTTATTGAAGTGTCTGCTTACTGGAAGGCGAAGTGAGAGTGGAAGAGTAACGATGAGCAGAAGAGGAGATAGGAAGAAGGGGGGATAAATGGAAAAGAGAGAGACAGAGAGAGAGTCCATATTTTTATCGATTTTGTCGTTCTGTCAACTTCAAACACAAATCCATTGACAGGGAAGATGGCCGCCCCAACACACATCCTACAAATGACAACAACTCCTTCCACCTCCAAAACAGACAACAACTTGTTCCTCTCACCTCCAAAACAGATAAAGTCCTCCACCTTGTACCTGTTGTCAGTGTAGAGGAGACTGAGATTTCTTCAATGGTTGGCAATTTGTATGTCTTGACGGAAAGGTTAATTAACTATTGCTCACCTGTGATAGTAAACTGTTGTGTTTCATTAGTCATTATGGGAGTCCACTCAAAATGAAGCATAAAACAAAAGGATTCAGGGAGAAGGAAAGAGAGAGATAGAGATATCCAGAAAAGGGAAGAGAGATAGAAAGATTAAGAGATGGAAAGAAAGAGGTAGAGAGATTGAAAGAGACAGAGAGGGAGAAAGAGTGGTAAAGAGATAGAGAGAGAATAGAGACTGAGAGAAGGTAAGAAAGAGGTAGAGAAAGAAAGAGAGACAGAGATTGAAAAGAGAAGAGAGAGACGTAATGATTCAGGGAGAAGGAAAAATAGAGGTAGAGAGATCGAGAGAAGGAACTAAAGAAGAAAAAGAGAGAAGGAAAGAGAAAAAATACGTATTTAAGTTGTCTTAAACGGGTGTCATTCTTCTTATGAGATCAATATTAAACAAACAAATCACCTCGTTATAAAATTACAATGATTTTATTTAATACTCAAAAAAGGAATCTTATACAACAGAATGGATCGACTACAATAACTGGGGAATAAACTACGTACTGTATATATCGGTATCATTTTCACGGCTATATATATATTTTTTCCCCCATTCAAATTTCAAATTGCTGTAATATTTTTATTTTTATATACAAGTAAATCTCTTCAATAAAATTCACGCCGTTCCATTACCATATTTTAACTGATGATGGAAAGGTTTATCGTCAGCTAAAAGAAAAAAAAATAAATCCCAATATAACGTTATGAATTTGATAAAAAGTATATCTGTAGTTTATAGAGATAGATGAGTTATATTTTGTAAAGGTTCTGATTATATTTTACAAAATACAAAGGGAAATGTTAGTATATATCTAGATTTATATTACTTGATAGATAGGGAAAATAGTATTAAGTGTGGTGGGTGTGGTGGGTGCGGTGGGTGCGGTGGGTGCGGTGGGTGTGTGTTCTGATAATGAAGCGTCGACAATTAATACCCATTTTTTTTTTGTTGCGACCAGATGTTCCAAGTATTGTGGCCATCAGAATGAGTTATAGCTGGTTAGTAATGACCTTGGTTGTTGGCACCCGGCATGAGAGGTTAGGTCAGGTCAGGTCAGGTCAGGTTAGGTACGGGAGATAAACATGAATGACCTGTGATATGTATTCCATTACATAAATCTCTCTCATATGTGGGAAAGACTGAGGAGAGGTGCATGTGCACGCATAAGTATGTATGTATTTATGTACGTACACACACACACAGGTATTTATAAAAGAAAAAGGTATGAATCCAGGTTAATTATAGGAATCTTGTTCATATGGTCCCTAAAAATGAGATCATTATGTAAATTATTGTCTCACCTTGTGGTTGACGGGAATTGATGGGTTGATAGGGTAGCAGTTCTGTCTGGTTGTGGTTGACGTTAGTTGTTTGGGAGTAGTAGTTGACAAGGATTTTGGTTGACGGTGGTTGGTGGGGTTTGTGGGGATAATGGAGGTTGGCGGTGTGGGGGGGGGGGCTGAAACTGACGGTGAGGTTATGGTTGACGGTGGGATTGTGGTTGAGGATTGGTTATGGTTGAAGGGAAAGAGATCGACGGTGGGATTCTGGTTGAGGGATGATTGTGGTTGAAGATGGGATTGCGGTTGAGGTGTGTTAATCACTCTTGGTGCTCTTGAACGTCATTGTCCATTTCGATCTATTTTCAATTTTATTCCTTTTTTTTAGGAACTGAAAAGAAAATTCACATTGACAACCACTGTCATTAAGTCACTGCCCTACTCGTTTTCACACTTGTTCACTGTCACACTTGTTCACTGTCAAACTTGTTCAATGTCACACTTGTTCACTGCCCTACTCGTTTTCACACTTGTTCAATGTCATACTTGTTCACTGTCAAACTTGTTCAATGTCACACTTGTTCACTGCCCTACTCGTTTTCACACTTGTTCACTGTCACACTTGTTCAATGTCATAGTTGTTCACTGTCACACTTGTTCAACGTCACACTTGTTCACTGTCACACTCGCTGTCATACTTGTTCACTGTCACACTTGTTCAACGTCACACTTGTTCACTGTCACACTCACTGTCATACTTGTTCACTATCACACCTGTTCACTGTCATACTTGATCATTATCATATTTGTTTACTGTCGTACTTATAACACTGCCATACATGTTCAGTCACACTTGTTCATTTTCTCACTGGTAGACACACGTGTATAATATATATCATAAAGTCCATTGTTAAGAAACTGACTCAACCCCCCCCCCCCTCCTCGCCTGGCTCTGGTTGTTTACCTTTCATGTTTGTTTGTTTGTCTGCTTTATCTGGAGGTGTGGACCGCCAACGCCTCTACTTGACTTTAAAAACTCCATGTGCAGAGCTTGTTTGTTAAATACTGTGAATTTATATTTGGTGTTTTGAGAGGGGGAGATAATTGTCTGGTTGAGTAGTTAGTGATACATAGTATGTGATGAAGAGAGGCAGTGGTGAGAGGGGGAGGCAGTGGTGAGATGGGAGGCAGTGGTGAGAAAGGGAGGCATGTGGTGAGAGGGGAGGCAGTGTGAGAGGGGAGGCAGTGGTGAGAGGGAGGCAGTGGTGAGAAAGGGAGGCAGTGGTGAGAAAGGGAGGCAGTGGTGAGAGAGGGAGGCAGTGGTGAGAGGGGAGGCAGTGGTGAGAGAGGGAGGCAGTGGTGAGAGAGAGAGAGAGAGAGAGAGAGGTGATAACAACACCACTATATACATAATGTATTAATAAGTGTGAGCATACAGATAAGTTTAATACACTCATTCCTTTCTACTATTCTACACACACCTCAGTACAACGAGTAACATTCACACTGTACGCCATCACAACACTTGTAGTATTCTGGTCAGTGTCCGTGGTTAAATACATTCTCCCCAGTGTCCGTGATCAATTACATTCTCCCCAGTGTCAGTGATCAGTTACATTCTTCCCAGTGTCAGTGATCAATTACATTCTCCCCAGTGTCCGTGATCAGTTACATTCTCCCCAGTGTCAGTGATCAATTACATTCTCCCCAGTGTCAGTGATCAGTTACATTCTCCCCAGTGTCAGTGATCAATTACATTCTCCCCAGTGTCCGTGATCAATTACATTCTCCACAGTGTCAGTGATCAGTTACATTCTCCCCAGTGTCAGTGATCAGTTACATTTTCCCCAGTGTCAGTGATCAGTTACATTCTCCCCAGTGTCAGTGATCAATTACATTCTCCCCAGTGTCCGTGATCAGTTACATTCTCCCCAGTGTCAGTGATCAGTTACATTCTTCCCAGTGTCAGTGATCAATTACATTCTCCCCAGTGTCAGTGATCAGTTACATTCTCCCCAGTGTCCGTGATCAATTACATTCTTCCCAGTGTCCGTGATCAATTATTTGAGACTTCACTAACATTCTCAAACTTTTTCTTCACAAACTCTTTAAAAAAATCTCAGGCCGTTAGAAATAGAAAAAAGCAACACACACACACACACACACACACACACACAACTCGATAACTGTACCAGCAGTCATAGAGCCATTTGAGTCACACCCAATACCACTAACACACACTCATACTAGCAAAATAAATTACAAATATCACACTAACAAAATTAAGTATAGATATATTACTAGCAAAATTAATTAGTCATCATATAAGAAAAATTAACTATAGATATCTAATAGCAAAATTAATCATAAATATCTTACTAGCAAAATTAATTATAAATATTACACTAACAAAATTAAGTATAGATATTTTACTAGTAACATTTAGTTATAATACTAGCAAAATTAATTATATATCTCACAAGCAAAATTAATTATAGGTATCATACTAGCAATATTTGACAAATATCTTGCTAGCAAAATAAATCACAAATATCTACGAGCAAAATTATTTATAGAAGTCTTATTAGCAAAATTAATTATATGTACGTTTTAAGGTATTGCAATCAAAATTAAATATAAATGCCTAGCTTTACCAGAGATTTCAATTATCATATATTAGTATTCAATTAAAAACTCGGAACAATCATCACTGTTCAAACACGATTATAATTAGTTTGTTTTGGGTAAATTCACAGTCAGTTGCCAGTCCATGATTAACTAAGGCGGATCTTCAAAACGGAAATAAAAACAAATTAATTCTTGGTAGGGTGATGTCTTTTCTTTACTTCCCTTTACAGTACAAGTAAAAGTTTATTAACACACTGATGGAAAGTTTTTAATCCACATAGAGTTATAGGTGGAGTCAGCCACTAGCAGCCTCCATCATCAACACTAAACAAACACCATTCAACACAAAAAAAAGGAAAACTTTCAAAAATCACCATAAAAAAAATCACTAACACCATCGATAAATTCCACACACACACACACAGTCATCATAATAAATCCAATCACTACCTCCCGTCCAATCACCAAGACCTTTACAACACACAACAACAACAACAGTGGGAAAGTCTTTGGTGTCGAGGATGTGTAGAGCAGCGCGCGTGTACCTCAACGGGTGGCGGGCGAGATACTGGTAGCTCCTGGGGCACTCACACTCCCTCACCGCACCGTGTTCTTCCGACAAGTGTTCGTCAACTACACCGTCTGCCGTCATGTAACTTCACGTCATTCCCTGCGTGCGCTTGTCCGTCGTGTTAAATAATTATCTGAACTCACTTTTAGAAGGTTGTTCCATGTGTTCGAGGTTTAACCCTTTTGAGGACGATGGTTTAACCCTTTGAGGACGATGGTTTCACCCTTTGAGGACGATAGTTTCACCCTTTGAGGACGATGGTTTCACCCTTTGAGAACGATGGTTTCACCCTTTGAGGACGATGGTTTCACCCTTTGAGGACGATGGTTTCACCCTTTGAGGACGATGGTTTCACCCTTTGAGGACGATGGTTTCACCCTTTGAGGACGGTTGTTTAACCCTTTGAGGACGATGGTTTCACCCTTTGAGGACGATGGTTTCACCCTTTGAGGACGATGGTTTAATATTTCTATCTTCTCCTCCCTCTTCTTTTTCCTACCCTCCTGCCTTATCCTCTTCCCTTTTCTTCGTCTCCCTCTTCTTCTTTCTCTCTTATTGTGAGGTTGGACTATGTGGTGACATTTTTCATCAAATGAGTCCAACCTCACAATGGTTAATAAAAGACCAAGAAATTAGTTCCGAAAATTAAGAGAAAAATTGCTAGTTACTTAAGAAAAATGAAGAAAACTCAAGAAATACGAAAAAAAGAAAAGGAAAAGATAGTGAATAAATTAATAAACAAGAAACTGATAATACTGCGAGAGGTAAACAAGAAATAAACATTAATCAATAAACAAGAAAAATATATCAAGAAAATAAAACAAGCGGTAAATGACTTCAGGTAAAACAAACAGGAATAGCCATCACCTTAATGAGACTAACATGACCTTGATAAAAACAATTCTTGACCGAGAGGGCTGTTAGTAACTACCCTATTAGTGTACACATCGTTAAGACGGCCATTAGCGAGAGGTGAGGGGAGGGGATGGCGAGGAGGGGAAGGAAGTGATGGATATGGGAAGGGGAACATAAGAATGGTCGAAACTGCAGCGGGTCTATTGGTCCATACTGGGCAGTTTTCAACCCAACCCCCATTGCTCATATATCGACCCAACCTGTGTTTGAAGCTATCTAGCGTATTCGAGTTAATGATGATATTTGGTAACTTGTTCCACTCATCCACTACTCTATTTTCAAACCAGTGTTTACCTATTTCGCACCTAAATCTAAATTTGTCTAATTTAAAACCATTGTTACTAGTTCGCTCCTGGTTGGATAGTTTGAGTACCTTTGTAATGTCCCCTTTGTTTAGCCCTGACTTTCATTTATACACATCTATCATATCGCCCCTCACTCTTCGTCTCTCGTGGGAGTGCAAATTAAGATGCTTTAACCTGTCTCTGCCCGGGATTAGCCTTGTCATTCTCCTCTGAATTCTTTCCAAGGATTCTATATCCATTCTGTAGTACGGTGACCAGAATTAAACTGCGTAATCCAAGTGAGGAGTGTCATAGTAGGAGGGAAGGGCGAGGAGGAACAGGGGAGGTATGGAATGGGGAGGGGAAAGGGAGGGGAGGAGGAGGGGAAGAGAGGAGAGAGGGAGAAGGACAAGGGGATATGTCATAGGGGGAAAGGAGGGAATGGTGGAGGGAGGGGAGGGAGGTATGAGAGGAGTGGTAGATGGGAGGGGAAATGGATGAAAGGGGTGGTAGAGTAGAGAGGGAGGTATGGGAGGAGTGGTAGAGGGGAGGGGTGGAATGGGAAGGGGTTGGTGGAGAGAAGGGTAGGGAGGAGAGGTGAGGTGGAAGAGAAGGTATAGAGGGGAAGTGGAGGAGGGGAAAGGTGGGAAAGGAGAGGTGAGAGGAGGAAAAGTAGGAAGGGGGAAGAGGGAAGGTGAGAAGGAAGGAGAGGAGAGGAGGGAGGTAATATGGGAAGGAGAGGAAGTGGGGAAGAGGGAAAGGGAGGGAAGGGAATGAAGGAGAGGTGAGAGGAGGGGAGGTCGAAAGGAGGGAGAGATGATGTGGGGAGAGGAGAGGGGGGAGGTGAAGGGAGAGGATGGGGAAGTAAGGGGAGGGGGCGGGAGGCTTAGCGCCCCTATTGCTGTAACGCAAACAATGGGGGAGAAAGTAAATTAGGGCGAGTAAGCTTTTTGTGTATCACGGGGAGAGAGAGAGAGAGAGAGAGAGAGAGAGAGAGAGAGAGAGAGAGTGTGTGTTTAACGCGGTCTAACAACTTCCCTTTAAAATTTGTGGATATGTTTGTTTTTCATTCTATTTTGGTGCGTGTGTGTGTGTGATAAAGTAAAATCATTCAGAATCTTTTGTAATTTCTTTCTCTTTCTATTCCTATACATCCATCAACATAGCTGTCTGTCCCCCTCCCCCACAATTTAGACACCTCCCTCACCTGACGGAAGCGTAGGTGAAAGGCAAGTGGGGCTAGACTTAGGTATAAGCTCACCGTTAGGTAGAGACAGGTAACGAAGCTAATCTCTCCAGGTGTTGTGTTGACAGTAGTTGAAGATGACTACCAGAAAAGACACAGACAGGCAGGTAGACAGACAGAGGGGAACAGAAATAAACAGTGATAGACAGATATAGATAGATAATATATAGATAGACAAGAAGAAACAGACAGACAGATGAGCAGACAGTGAGAGACAGACCAACAGAGTACCAGGTAAGTTCTTTATATTGGAGGTTTATTAATCTTTAATTGGTTTTATTAGGACAGGTAGAAATGACAACGATAACGATGTCTCTTCCCCATGAGCTGTGCCCAGACTAATTGACGTTTAACACCCAGGTGAAATTAGAAAACTAAATCTTACCTAATATAACTAACCAACCTGACATAACCTAACCTAACCTATTCTAACCAACCAACACAATCTAACTTAACATAGACAACTTGGCTTAACCACAATTAACAATATTTTAATTTTACTTTTGGGAAAGTTAGGTTAAATCCATAATAGTTTAAGTGGGATGTCAATCGCTACCATACACCACACGTTTAGTATTTAAGTAACATCAACAGAAAGGAGAAAGTCAAACAACATTATTTAATTGTGAATACAAGATTGTGTAATTAAATTCTTTGATATATATAGAGGACAATAATGTATACATTATATATCACACATACACCGATAAACACATATATATAGTATACACCATAAAATACAACCATGGAATATTCATATATTATTTACAAGTGGTAACCGTAAATACAATCCGGGTAAAATCGTTGATGTGATCCCATGTTCAACATAACAAATTCCTCAAAATCTCTTTCTTAGGCTTGACGACACTATTGAGAGGCTAAGTGTGACTATTGTTATTACTAAGCATCAGCGAAGGTCTTTAAAGCGCTTAACAAGGTTAGTAATTACACTAGTACATCAATAACAATTAAAAGTTAATAAGAGGTATATACAACTTCAAGGCTGATAACAGTGTCTGTCTACCTGAACACTTGGCTCCAGAAAACGATGTTAAATACGATAAAAACAAAGGGTATGATTAAGTACCGCTGGATATAAAGTAACCTCCCACTAGCTGGTTTCTTCACTTGTATCTCGGTCTGGTCTCGCGGCACTACAGTCATACGTTTGGGATATTTGACAGTCGCTTCCACAGCACCCGCAAAGATGTGAGCCATGATGTTGGAGAAGAGGAGCGAAATGATGAAGATGAACCATACGTCAATGAGCTTGATCTCCGCCGTCTTTGGGAGGGAACTGGAGAGGTTGGAGAAGAGGGTATACAGGACGAGTAGTGTGGTGAGGGACATGACCGCCCTGACGTTGAGGTCCTCTATTCTGATGAAGAGCGTTGCCCAGCTGATAGACAAGAGCAAGAACGACGGCAGGAAAGTAGTGAGCAGTATGACTCCCTGACGGCGGTTCAGCTGATACTCCACAACAACAAGACTCTCGCTAGATTTCCCCGACAACTTCACATTTTCCACAACAAAGAGAGACAGTTTCTTCTTCCCGGTGTAAATAATGTTCGTGTTGTTGACGGCAAACTTGACGTTACCTTTGTAGTCTGGCGGGAAAGTGAGATCGATGGTACACAGCTGAGCATCGAAAGGATAGGAATACAGCTCGAAGGAACAAGTTAAGGTGGCGGTGTAACGCTGGGTGATGGTCATCTGAGCCCCGGGGTACACTAGGTCTGTAATAGGAACATAACGACATATTACTCCACAATGAACTATTTCACTTAGCTCAGACAAGTATAAGGGAGATGTCCTTTTGAGTGTTAGACATTGTGAAGGGGAGAGAGGCTAAGAATGAAGGAAATGATAAAATGAAGAAGAAAGATAAAGGTCTGAGGAGTAAAAGGGTGAAGGTAAGTGAGGGACATAGGGAAATCGTCATCAGCCGACAGGAAGTTTGTAGAATCTTACCCGGATATATATATATATATATATATATATATATATATATATATATATATATATATATATATATATATATATATATATATATATATATATATATAGTTTTCCTTTACAGTATCGTCAGTATTAACAAATATTGAGCAAATTTTATGATACAATAAAATGACTTACGACTACTTACTCTTAACTTGATAAATACTAACCTGTATCAACAGAATTAAATCCGGGCTTCTGGACAGTGTCGGTGCCCCTGACCACCACAGCCTGGTGAAGTTGCTTTATCTTACCGCCCTCCAAGTTGGTCAGCTGGTGTCTGGGTAGCCACACCTGTCCCATCTCCGCTTGTGACAACAGCCCCCCCTCCGTCGTTACTCCTAAGTGCTTGAAGACAAGCCGGTCGTCCTTCCACGCGAGGCTCAGTTCTAACTCGAGGGTGATGGCTTGGTTGATCTCGTCCACAGAGGCGACCCGTGCAAGGGTGACAGAGGGCGTGACAGTGAGTAAGGAGCCTCCAGACCCTGCAGGAGCTAGGTGTTTCTGGTACCCGCCCTTCATTACCACCACTTCACACTCGTCTTCATCGCTGCCGTCTTCACAATCATACCTGAGGTTACAGCGGAGGTGAGCAGCGATGCAAGAGCCGGAGTGACACATGAACTGCTGCAGGGAACACGGGGAGAGTCCTAGCCGGAGATTGCTGCCCTGGGGTGCCCCACAAAGAGATTCTTCCAGCCTCCACATGCGGCGTCCTAAAGGGTATTCGGTCAAATCCAACACTTCTGTCCAAGCCACAGTCACATTACTTATAGTGTTCTTCAGAGACCATCTGTTGTCTAGGATGTCCCATATTATGATATAGTCGTAGTAACCCCAGAACACGGGTCTACCATTGACGTGACCATTTAAACGAAACCGAGTTTGGTGTTCGTCCTCAAAGCAAAGACCTCGAAGACTGAGGAAATGTTCTCTCTCTATATGACAGGCGGCGCATCTTTTGGTGGTCTGATCACACGCGTCTACAGTCCATAACCCTCCTTCCACCATCTCAACACAGTTATAGATAGTACCTAAGACGGGGAATTCATTTGAGAAGTTGAGGTAAGAGGCCACCTCTTGGGTGAGAACGTTCCTCCATACGCCATCCTCTAAGACATCCGTAAGTCCGATCCAAAGTTTCCACGAAGCCGAAGGATTACAGATGTTGAGGAAAGGCTGGAGAGCCGAGTAGAGGATGTGGTTGTCAGAGGAGGAGGAGGGCACGGCAGGAGAGGCGTTGAACGATCGACACAGCGTTGTTGAATCTAAGAAATTCCGAGCTTCAGGAATGATCAGGTAGTTCGGAGAGACACTGAGCACACCAAGGAGGACAGACGATAGAGTTAGTGAGGTTAGGTACATAGTGATCCCTAACTTAACTGTAGTTGTCAAAAATACCACAAGTTCTACCCTCTCTGGATGACACCCAGAACCACTGTGACCCTGACCTGTGAAGTTCCTTGGCCATAATATAACTCTGTTTTCTCCGGGAATCGAGCCCAGGACTTTGCTATCAACTTATGCACAAGAGTATTTAAACAAACTTCTTATAGTATGTGTGTGTGTGTGTGTGTGTGTGTATAAGCCATAACGCAAAACCGAAGTAGACCTATACACCTTGTCTCATTCTCTCAAAAAAAAATCCTCAGCAGGTATTAAAACAAAATCAACCATCCACATACCAAAAGCTCTCGTTCCGTATAAACTCTTGACAATTATGATAATATATACACTTACATAAACAGACCGTTATCTTTACAAACACCACAGAAATATATCAATCGCAAGACTTAACCTACGCTTTGTATATACTGTATTTATTTATGTTAATAAAGCACATTGGTTCATTATTATTGGTGTTAGCTACAAGATAATGATGTTTTAAATATGTATATTTTCCACTAATAGATTTAATCCAAAGTAAAACATAAACTATTCCTCTATTGATAATTCTTGGGGTACTTGTTGTCGATTGAAATATATACTGTATATATTAATCAAGCTTGAGTTCGTGTTCTTTTAGCGAGGAGAATTATCATAGAAAATGTTTACTAATGGATCGTATGGGTAACTTATGTTAATATTTCCATTGAACCTGTCGCAGCTGTGTTTCAGACGATAAAGTGAGCTAAAAACAATTTATAAACTTTTATAATACAGGGAAGAATAAAAAAGTATTATATTTTATCATATGTATTCTCATATTATTGTTGTTGACGATAATTTTGTTATAAATTTAGTATTTTTTTTTATTGGTGCTGCTTCTTTAAGAGGTTTTTCAACACTAAAAAATCTTAATTGCCTCGAAACGTTACCAACTCAGGAGGAAGACAAACTATATGTATATGTGGAAACACAAATAAAAACTTTCCCGTAAACTCGACTTTCACCACGTAATGACCATCTTTTTTAGCTAATTTAATTTATATTTGGTTTTATACATTTTATTGGGGCTATTTTTGTTAATTCGTCATTTTTAATAATTTTCCTTTATAATTTTCCCTCGTGTAATTTTACTTTGCCTTTATAGTTTATTATTTTTATCTACTTAACTTCTTTTTTTTAATTCTTGCAATTTATTATTTTTTGTATGTACTGTATTCCGTTTGTGGAAGTCCATCAAATATTCACATTATTGTTGCTACCTTATTTTCGCTCGCATTTTTCATTTAGTTTATACATTCTATTGTTTTGGGGAAGTCTTTGTTTTTAATTAACATTTTTACAATTTTTTTTCCTTATACGTCAGTACAGTACCTGCACAGCTGCTTGATGGGCATCGACATCTCGGTAACATTCCCAAACACCTCGAACTTGGCCAAGGCGGAGGAGAAGACGTCCCCGGGGGTGTTGAGGTGACAGCTGGCCATCTCCATCACTTCATCTGCAGACAGCTGACGCCTCCACATGTCCAGTTGAGTGATGTCCCCCCGCAGGGTCTGGCGGAGACAATCATCACCAGTTTTTGCAAGAAATATGAATATGATGTTTGAAGATGTTGTAATGTGATAATGAATGCCAGTCTGTTTGTTATTAACTTTTAGAAGTTTCTGTCAATAAATATGACTTACAGTAGAGTAATTAATAACCTTGACCACCTAAAATTAAGAATTATTGAACAAAATTTAATGACCCTGACCTTTCAAGCACCTAAAACAAGAATTTAGTGGACAGAAATTAATAACCACGGCCGCCGAAGCACCTAAAATTAGAACTGAGTGAGGTCGGGGATGGTCAAAGGGGGTAATGTAGCCTTACCTGCGAGGAGTCAAACCCGCCAGAGAGCTTGTCCTGTTCTTGTCCCAGGATAAGTGACCCGTTCATTATTAATGGCCATTGACCCTCCAGTTCTCTTTGATAGAACTCCTGAAACATCATTTATGTTATTAGTGCAGCAAACAAAAGTCGACATGGTTCTAAAAGTATCCAAATAGTTCTCATGACTCGAAAAATATCTCATATGATAGTATTTTTTAATCGTCGCAATTAACTGAGAGCTTGTAAAGTACTTTTACTTTTTATTTACATTGAGTCATTGTCTGAGAAAACAAAATGTGGCAGTCAACACCTTTAGGAATCCGCCACTGGTCTGCCTGTCAGTGACTATGGTGGTACCACATTTTTGCCCTTCATACGAGGGAGACACAAGCCTGCCCATCACACAGCGAGTACCACATACCTGCCCACTGATCCAGAGGGTGCCACATACCTGCCCACTGATTCAGAGGGTACTACATACCTGCCCACTGATTTAGAGGGTGCCACATACCTGCCCACTGATTCAGAGGGTACTACATACCTGCCCACTGATTCAGAGGGTGCCACATACCTGCCCACTGATTCAGAGGGTGCCACATACCTGCCCACTGATTCAGAGGGTGCTACATACCTGCCCACTGATTCAGAGGGAACTACATACCTGCCCACTGATTCAGAGGGTACTACATACCTGCCCACTGATCCAGAGGGTGCCACATACCTGCACACTGATTCAGAGGGTACTACATACCTGCCCACTGATCCAGAGGGTGCCACATACCTGCCCACTGATTCAGAGGGTACTACATACCTGCCCACTGATCCAGAGGGTGCCACATACCTGCCCACTGATTCAGAGGGTGCCACATACCTGTCCACTGATCCAGATGGTGCCACATACCTGCCCACTGATCCAGAGGGTGCCACATACCTGCCCCTGCTAATAAGGCTACAACATACCAGTCCCTAGTACATGGGTGCCATATACCTGTCCTGATGCAGGTGCCACATACCTGCCCCTGATCCAGGGGGTGGCAAATACCAGCCCCTAACTCATGGATACCACATACCTGCCACTGATAGTAGAGCTGCACATACCAGCCCCTAGAACATGGGTGTCACATACCTACCCTTGATGATCCAAGGGGTGCCACATACCTACTCCTGTCACAAAAGGTGCCACATACCTGCCGTGATTTAGGTGCCACATTCTTACTCCTGTACATAAAGTGCCACATACCTGCCCCTGCCAGTAGAGGGTATAGTTATGGTGGTTGAAGAGGTGACACAGGTGGTGCCAAGTGTCAGGGGCGCCGGGCCAATGTATTTCATCCAATTTCGTCTGAACCTGATTGGCGAAGAGTGTCCTGAAGCGACTCCCCACGTTGTCTGGTGGTGGGTTGATAAATATAAGTATACAGTTAAACATGTATAATTATAGACAATGCACAAATGCAAGTAGTGATACAGCTAAGTTGAATTACCTATCATCGCTCTTCTAATCACTTAATTGCTTAAATTTTATTAGGTCATGTTAGATAGTGAAGTTGTGTGGATACTTAAAAAGTTAGCAAACACACAGTTAATTCAGGTGTATAGTGAAGGAACGAACGGAGAGTAACACACACACACACACACACACACACACACACACACGCGCGCGCGCGCGCGCATACTCACAGAGAGAAAGGCCGTTGGTCTTTATCGCTGACCAGGCGTAGGAGAAGTGGACGTTGGTGGCGATGAAGGACTCCATCCTGTGAGGAGAACACAAGGTTATCTATCACTCTCCTAACACCTGTCATAATAGCCTTGCCAGCGCGAGCGATCCCACGTGTGACTGGTGTTTCATTTGTCCCTCAACCAAACCTAACCACTACCACTGACACCACTGCTACCACCTTTAAAGAGCGATTAAGTTGTTTTCTGAAATTATTTTTGAATTTTTTATTACTTAATATCTAATAACATTTACGGTTCAGTGGGTTAAATTATCAATCTAACGCACCTCTATGGCCCTTTGTGTTAATCGACAATTCGTATCCTAATTTAATTTAACTTAACCTAACCTAAATTAACTTAACCTGACCTATCCTAATTATCTTAAACTAACCTAAATTAACTAATCTGACCTAAACTAATTTAACTTGACCTAATCTAACCTAAATTAACTTAACCTAATCAAACCTACTGTATATCATCTTAACTTAACATATTTTAACCTAACCTAAATTATCTTAGCCTACTCAACTTAACTTAGTTATGTTAACCTAACCCATATTAACTTAACCCAACCTAAATGGACTAAACTTAACCTAACTTCAATGAACCTAACCTATACTACCTTAACCTAACTTACCCTAAATTAACTAACCTAACCTAACCAGGCTTCTAATAGAGATTTGGCTGTTGTTGGGTTGTAATCTATAATAGGAGTTTGCTTCCGAGGTTTGGGGGAAATAACTGATAAAAATTCCCTCTCACTCTCGTCATATCGGAAACATTATCTTTATGTTGTTGTAAGTGTGTGAAGATTAGTGCATGTACGTATAGTAGGTTGGTAAGTTAGGATGGATTAGGATAGGTTAGGTTCTTATGTTATGTTAGAATTAGATCAGATTAGGTTATATGTTTGGTCAGCGTTAGGTGAGGTTAGGGGTCGTTTAATCAAAAGATGAAATAAGTTGGGGTACCTAATCTTTGAGTGATCCTAAGTTCAGAACAAGTTATTCTCTATTATTCATAACTTGGTGTTGATACCACGCGTGGCGTCACAATCTCTTAATCAATTTACTGGAATACTAAAGAATATTTCTTCTTTTAACATCAACAACAACATTAATTACGGTAATAAAATTAGTTCCGATGGAGTCTGGTGTTTGCTTATTAAAAAATGTGTGTGTGTGTGTGTGTGTGTGTGTGTGTGTGTGTGTGTAGTAAGGGCATCACCCACCTGATCCAGTAACAACAGGACAGCTGGTTCAGTGGTTCCACCTGGGAGAAGTTGTAGCGCAGGAATACCTCGGTCGTGGGGACAGTCCACATCCCTTTATGCATGCTGAACACCCTCACCGTCACCTCTTCTTTACCTGCGGATATAGTAAAACACACACACACACACACACACACACACACACACACTTGTTGAAATAATGTTCCTCCCTCGGTAATGGTAATATTATTCACCTTACGTTCACTTACACATAAATCATAAACCTTCAGATTCGGTTGTGGTGGTGATGAACTTGCCCTAATAATTCATCACCTCCGACACACCAATAAATAAGAATGCAAATTTACTTTGCCCCCAATGGCGTAAAAATTGCAGGAGTGCGAGAGATTTGTTTTGCATGATTTTTATATACTCGATGACTGTGTTGGATATTTACGTAGGGCACACACACAGACGGGTTTACCCGTGAAAGAAATTGAAAGAAAACAGCAAAATAAAAAAAAGACTAAAATTGACACTCAGAGGTGAGTGTGTGTGTGTGTGTGTGTGTGTGTGTGTGTGTGTGAGTGTGTGTGTGTGTGAGTGTGTGTGTGTGTGTGTGTGTTATATCGAGGTGCTGTCTTACCTGCGGCCAAGGGGGCGTGTCTCAACAGTGCCAGTGCCAAGATCAGCAGTAGTAGAATGGCTCTCATGATTTAACACCTCCTCAGCTCACTGTTGACGCATCCTTTGCGAAATAATGAATAGGCATCTTAACCTCTTTTGAGAGAGAGAGAGAGAGAGAGAGAGAGAGAGAGAGAGAGAGAGAGAGAGAGAGAGAGAGAGAGAGAGAGAGATAAATTAACATTTGTTCTCCTGGAAACTGGCGAACTGACTTATCAACAGTTAATATCTTATTCACCCAGTTAACCAAACAAAGTTTAAGTGAATAACCAACCGACTCTGTGTAAGTTATAAAATTAACCTAAATCTGTGTATTAGAATTATGGCATAATTTATCGTATTTGTTTTTACAATATACAAACAGTCAAACACCATTCAACACAAGTCATATGAAGAATACATCACTATAATAATATCAACATACCCCGTGCGAGGATCGGAAGGAGGACTGTTTTTTTCTTATTACAGTTAACCCTCTCGTTAAAACCCTTTGAGGACGAATGGTTTACGCCTAACCATTTGAAGGCGAGTGGTTTAAGCCCTAACCCTTTGAGGAGGCATGGTTTAAGCCCTAACCCTTTGAGGACAAGTGGTTTACGCCCTAATCTTGGAAGGCGAGTGGTTTAAGCCCCAACCCTTTGAGGACTGTTCTGTACCTCTTTGACGTTAAATATTTTTTTTCAAGCTATAATCCTTTAATAATTATAGATGTTTTTTTTTTGTTTCAGCGACTTTGCCAACAACTGAGTGTGGTGTTCCTGAAAGCACCAAGCCAGACCCCGGCCCTCAACTCCTATCGTGTCTGCTAAGGGAGGGGTAAGGGTAAGGGTAAGGGTAAGGGTAGGGGGGGGTTGGAGGGGGAGGATATGAAGGGAAGAGCTATGAATGTCGTAAGTTCAGTGAAACCTTTATTTAACGGACTACATGGAGAGAAAAGTCCCGTTACACCAAGGGTCCGTTAGATATGAAACCTCCATGTAAACGAACAGTATAGAGATGGAAGTCCATTATATCGAGCTTCCGTTAGATGTGAAG